GAGCTGTGTGAGACACTTTTTTTATGGATGGGCGCTTTTTATTTAACTTCTTTTGGACTGATGCACTGCAACACCCGTTGAGTGCCGTTAAACAGCTTGAAAGATCAAAGACAGTTTTTAAAATAACTCAGACTGGATTCGTCTGAAAGAAGAAAGTCATATACACCTAGGATGACTTGAGGGTGAGTAATTTATGGGCTAATTTTAATTTTTGGGTGAACTAACCCTTTAATATTAGCTGTAAAAAAAACATTCTGTAACATGATTTGAGCTGGACAATCTAATTTTATGCTGAGTTTGTTGCTGCTTTATAACATATTACTTAAATGTAAACTGAACACAGAGATTGCAGATATGATCTATATGACATGCATAACTGGAAAATTCCAAACAGCTTGTGATTTAACGTGTAGTCAGCTCTCACTGCTAAGGTGTAGTATTATTTCCAGATGTCGGTCACATAAATGCTCCATCGCCAGCGTGATGTAGGTTGCAGATGCAGACTGTGCACTGGGGTCAGCGTCTGCGCGCAGGGCATGGGTAGGGCTTTCCAGACCTGAAAACGGAGAGATAGCATAAGAAGGGTTACAGAGTCTGTTTACCTGACATTTCAGCACTGATTTGATTAGTTGCTATGAAAGAACATTATGCTGCTGGGAATCTTTGACATCTGAGCCTCGAGGAACTAAAGATATGATAAAACAGATTCACAAGTGAAGACTGATCCTGCATTTAAATCAATTACATTTCAGACAGACTTTTGATATAAATCTAGATATGCATACAAAAAAAAATTATGGAAAGGTTAGTGTTTAATCTTAAAACTAAGTTTTTGGCTTAATCATCAGTTCAATCCTGTATAGTTTAATTTTAAAATATGATTTCTAAAGTTTGGGGTCAGTCATTTTTTTTGTTAAAGAAACAAATACTTCAACAAATACTTAAACTGATCAAAGATGATAGTAAAGACTTTTATAATGTTACAAAAATTCCCATTTCTGGTAAATGCTGTTCTTAAATTTTTTATTCATCAGAATCCTTAAAAAGATCAAAGTTTCCAAAAATATCAAGCAGCCCAACTGTTTTCAACACTGATAATAATAAGAAATGTTTCTTGAGCAGCCAATAAGCATATTAAAATGATTTCTGAAGGATCATGTGACACTGAGGACTGGAGTAATGACTGATGAAAATTCAGCTTTGCATCACTGGAATAAATTACATTTTATAATACATTCAAATTGAAAAGTTATTCTAAATTGTAATAAAATTTCACAATATTACTCTTTTACTGTACTTTGGATAAAATAAATGCAGCCTTGCTGAGCATAAGAGACTAATTGCAAAAATAAAAAATCATACAGACCCCAAACTTTTGAACAGTAGTGTACCATGGTATTAAAAGAGTACCATATTCATATACTAAAGTATACTGTTTATGGATATATGGTAGTCCAAACATAGTACTTCATGATATTACCATGGTAAATGTATAAAAAACATGTTATTACTATGGTAAATGTCTAAACAAATTCTAATACTATAATACATGTACAAACCATGTAAATGTCCAAAAAATGTCAAGTAATTTATCTGTACTGTCCTTTTCAATGTATTTTAAAGTTTAGCCAGCTGAAACAGAGCGGCCACTTTCCTCTGGAGCAGAACGGACTCTCTATCACCCTGCCTCCATCTCTCTCCTCTGTTCTAGTGGCCCGGAGCCGGAGCCAAACACTCTCTCTGCACACACCCTCGCAGACATGCTTTGGCTCCTTCTGGCAGGCGCACTGCTATCTATCATAATCACTGATGTCCATGCCAAGTTTTACGCTAACTGGATTATTTCAGAACACAAGCTGGACCTGCATGAACGTACAGTCACTCTTTAAAGGCAAACAGAAAAAAGGGTCTCTTCTGTCCTTCTGTCACAGAAAGAGACGGGTAAGAGACAAGCTCACCTTGTGTCTACTCCTCCGGATGTCATAGTTCTAGACCTTTTCTGCTTTTACATTGAAGGCCTTGTTGTAGTATAAAAGTGACTTATGTTGGATAGTTTGGACAGAAAGATATGAATGTTACCGGCCAGCAGACAAGCTCCTCGAAACAGCAGCTGGAAGCTGAGCTGATAAGGCGAGAGGTTTGTGGCAGTGCTGGTGAGCAAAGCATGTGTGCACTGCTGCCCGACTCCCAGCATCCTCTCCTGCTTCCCAGACACGCTGCCAAAGCACGTAGTCGGGCTGAAGGAGAGACGTGAAAAGGGATTCTAGGGAGGTCAAACCCACAATTTTCACTATTTGTTATTCAGATGTTGTTAATCTAATTATCAAGGACAGAGTAAGGGTGTTTTATCAAATAGTCCCTTACAATATATTTATTACTTTATGATTTTGCTGTTATTTTGTTTGTTTACACACATTAAAAGGTTGGGGATAGTAATATAAAATAAATGAATACTTTTATTCAGCTAGGATTAATTAAATTGATGAAAATTGACAATAAAGAGTCAAGACATTTATGATTTTGATCAATTCTATTTTTTTTAATTCAAAGAATCCTGAAAATAAATATTTAATGGTTTCTACAAAAAAATTAAATAGCACAGCTATTTTTGACATTGATAACAATAAGAAATATTTTGAGCACAAAATCAGCATATTAGAATGATTTCTGAAGGATCATGTGACACTGACGACTGGAGTAATGATGCTGAAAATTCAGCTTTACAATCACAGGAATATATCTTAAAATAAATAAAATAGAAAACAGTAATTTAAGATGTAATAATATTTTACAATATTATGGTTTATAACATAATAATTTACAATATTATGTATTTTCAATCAAATAAATGCAGCCTTGGTGAGCATAAGAGATTTCTTTCAAAAACATTAAACAAATCTTACTGACCTCAAACTTTTGAATAATAGAGTATGTTGTTGTTATACATATATTTTAGGAATTTGAATATACACTGGCCCTAAAACCTATACATTTCATAATTACTATGAACATAATGATTTTGTCTTAATTTTGAACAGTATATATATATATATTATTTTTTTATTTTAATCATTTTTTAAAAATTCGTTTGTAAATATTTTATGTAATGCAAAGATGACATACATTTTAAAGTGTGGCTTTAATTATTAGTAGTTTAATAGTGTAATTATTACACTAAAGGAGAACTTAAAGATATTAACTTTACCTGTTCTCATCTGATTTTCCCCCATTTTCATTCTTTCCTGGTTGGATCCGCGATCTGACTATAGGTGTGAGCACTGTGGGATAAACCAGACGGATTGCGCCATTTTCAAGTGTTGGAAGTTCAAGGGTGGTACTGATGACAACGGACACAATTTCCAGAGGTCCAATCTGGCCTGTGCTCACAATGAAAGTGCTCCTCTCTAGGTCCTCATCCAGCAACAGATGACCTTAAATGAAAAAAATTTACACGAATCTCTCAAAAACCTGAAAAAAGTATAAACCGAATGTTGGCTCTCCAAGACAGAACCCTAAAGTGAGATTAATTTAAAATCTGTGTATTAATTTAAGGGCCATCTAAAACAGGCACAGAGCCAACACAGCTCTCTGAAATAATGAATGCTGCCTGCATACTTCAGACTGGACAAGTACAAAGCACTGTAAGGAGAACACAAGATTTACAAGATCGCCAAATACACTTCTGTAGCATGTGCTTGTGAACAGTGACAAAAGCCTCTGACGATACAAAGAATATACTGTATACGCCGCATTCATTTTGATCTGGGATCAAGTGTTTCAAGCTCAGTGATGGCATGTCTTGTCATGCTTTTCTTAGCTGGATTTTGTAGATTATGTAACCCTTCAATAACTTCGTAATGAGGCATCTTGCCAACCTTAACATTCTTATTTAATCTTGACAAACTGGGTAGAAATACACAGTTGAGTTTAAGAGTTAAGGTCTTTGCACACTGAGTCCGAAATTCTCGTCCGAAATTTTCGCATGTTAAAAAATAAATACGACCTCACTTTGTGTCAATCACGTTTGCACACTGCCTTCGAAACTTTCGTCTGTCATAAAAAATTCAGATCAGGTTCGATATTCTGTGTTTTTCACATCCAAAAAAACAAAAACAAAAAAAAACCCATATGAAAATTTCGGACTCGGTGTGCAAGGACTTTTACAGTGTGTCTCCTCCATTCGTTTAGGTAAAAGCAATTATGTTTGATAGAGAACTGAACAGAGTTGGTCACAACGTTCTGTTGAAACAACTAAAAAGAGAAAAAGACATGATTGGTACGAAACCAGTTACAGTTTGAAAAGTTACATTTATAGACATTTTAAGAAAGAAATCATTTACCTCTTGAGAGTGTTGACAGTCTGTGAATTTGGATGACTAGGCTCTTTGACAGTTACAGATTTGAAAAGCAAAAAGGCGGGAATAAAGAACCCTTAATGCTAACACAAATAATCACTGCGCCATGAAAGGGTTCTTCGGGAGGATTTGGTTCTAAAGAACTGTTACTAGGTGTAAAGAACCTTTACAGAACCATCTTTTTTTAGAGTGTATTATAATAGTATGGTTGCTTCTTTCCACCACGGAGTAAAAAAAAACCAGTAATTGCTACTTTTTATCTCACAAAAGTCAGAATTGTGTGATATAAAAAGAGATTCTGGAAAGCTTCCACATAATAGGCCCACACCACAACTATAACATTAACAGCACGGATCTAACAAATTTATGAATGAAACGCTTGTTTTAAAATCTTCCCCGTCTACTGACATTTGTTATGGCATCTGCTTCAAACATTATAAAGCTCAAGATAACTTGCGTTAACTCTACAATAAGTAAATCCACCAGCTAATTACTCTTCAACAATGATGCTATAGAATTACACAGAGCTACCACAAAAAAAAAAGGAAGTTCAATCACAATATTCTAAAGATGACTGCTTGCATGTTTCTCTGATGTATACGGTCTATAATAAACAGAACATTATCATCTGTTCGTGTGGATGCCAACATTATCAGTCTTGGTGTGAACTGGACGTTAACAGGTTAAAACGCTCACCGTTAGAGCACTGTATTTCCAGACCTGTTCCTCCACAGCATCCCCACTCCTTGCTGTGACCACACTGAGTGTGCAGTGCCGATCCTCGGCAGCAGTCCAGACAGCAGTCCTCTAGCTTCCCACGGCTCTGGAGCTCCACACTGACCAGCCTGCCGGACACCACTGCCTCAAAACCCACCACAACCTCCTTCTCCCCCAGAGGATACACAAACACACCTGAGCAGGTGAGGAGGACATGATTTATTTTGATGACAAGTGTTTGTTTTCCTACTCATCTGAATTGTTCTGCAGTATGTGTGCGTGATCTCTTACCCTCTACAGGTTCAGGGTCAGTATTCACATATGTGAGATGAGCCGTGATGCCCAGAGAGCAGCCGTTTGCACAGGAAGTGATGTCGGATGTCTTCAGCAAAAGTGGGGCCCATGTGGTGCGATTTTTCAATCCTGGCATTTTCCTTAAGAGAATATCATCTGTGTAAGCTAATTATGCTTGTTAAGAGGATGTTACTGACAAGATCCCTGAAGAATATTAAGCATGATAATTAATAAGCTTCATTTAATTAAAATGTTGACTTTGGTAGTCACAAGAGTTCATTTACTAACTACACTTTTTGCGGCACCCAATGTATTGTGTTAATATGAAAAAACTATTATTGAAATATTGAATTTTCACCCAAATTGGTGTGGATGCTAATATAGTTATCTTTATAGTTATTGTTCTTGGTGTGAACGGGAGTTAAACTTCTTTTTCAGCTGTCTATGGTTAAAATTCAGTCTTTGTGTCATAGTAATGCTTTTGTCCATAGTTCTTAATAAAAACTGGTAATGTTCAACAATTGTTTGTATTTACAATTTTCACAGAACAATTTGAGTAGAAATTTTACAGCCAGGTTTATTGTCGTAAACTAAACCGAAAAATGTAAATACATTCAAATGAAATATTAAAAAACTTTAAACTTATTTAATTTCATCTAGTTGCAAATGCAACATTTCTCATTTTTGTTTAGTCTAAATAAAAAACTTGATAAAAACTAATAAACGTATTATTTAAGCTATGAGAAATGATAAAAAATGACAAGCACACCACAAAGTTACTAAAACTTGAACTAAAATTTAAATGAAAATATAAAAATAAAATTCTAAACTGATAAAACCTATAATAGTATACCAATATTTATACTAAAATAAAACCGTTTACAGCAAAACCACCAGTGTTCGACTGTTTTAAATAGATTTAATGGGCAGCTGCAAAATGCACAGATTATAAACTTTCTAAACCGATTTCTGAGTCAGTAGCAGCAAATTTCCATCTGATTATTTGCTTCAGCTACCATGTAACATTTTAAGAGCTGACACTCAACCTCTTATTCACACTACTGGACGTGTCCACCCCGCATGCTGCCTGGCAACCGGGCGGCACTCATCTTGTCACAGTGAGAATGTACGTGTCAAACATTAACTGACTGGTCAATAGAGCAGCAGCACATGCATTCAAACATCAGCAGCAAGCGTAATGCTCAAGTCAACGGCCTGCTGTCTCTGCAGAGGTACAGATGCTAGAATTAGGGGAAAGAGGATCAAATTCAGATGATCAATTTTGAAATCTGTAATTTGGTCTTATCAGCATTATAATTTTCTGATCTAATGTGAGAATATTGAATATTGGGTTCCCTGGTTAATGATGCAGCGATGTTTGTTCTGTGCACAAGGTCTCTCAGGTGCTCCTTGAACAAGGTGCACTAACACCTGCCACCTGGACTCAAGTCCACTTACTGAGATTTACTGTGCCGTGATTAAATGTCAAGCATGTATGAATACAAACACCACACTAGTGACTAGTAAATCGCTCTTACGAAGATTAAAGGTTCACTTTTGACTTGCTGACTTTGTATTCTAGCCAACATTTTTTCAAACAACAATATTTCTAAATGCATTTAAATAAATTGTTTGTATAGTTAAAAAGAAAAAGTTGGTCAAGCTTTACAGTGTCCTATAAATGTGTCAAGCATATGGAACAATGCCACAGAAATAAAACAAAATCCTTAGAGAGACTTTAAATGCAAGAGGCATTGCTAAGTAAACCACAGCATATGAAGGTGGGAAGATTTGATTTTGAGAACTGATTTGTAGTTGTCTTATGATGCTGTGCTATTTAATAGTTACACGATAGAAACTAGTTCCAACTCTCTGTAAGGAGAGATCATGTTTATAAGATGACAGAGAAAATATTACCTATAAGCTGAATGAGGGGGTAAATGGGTGCATATACAGTATGTGAACCAAAATGAACAAAAAACAATAATAAAAAAAAAATATATATATATCTGCTGAAGCAACAGAAGTAACTAAGCTTCAGAAAATGTGATTAACTGATTATTGTCCAAATTTGTCATTTTAAAATAATTGAATAAACAAGGAAAGGATACTCTTCAAGATACTCTTTTGACTTGCTAACTTTGGGTAAACACACATCTTGCACTAACTTGTTTAACTTTTTTTTTTTTTTAAACACTGCACAGATCAGTCTTTTAAATGCATTTAAATGAAATTAAAATAGATTATTTCAAGTTTTAGAGCTCAGTCATTACAGAAATAAAGAAAGGGTCATGAAATTCAATTTACAAAACAAAAAGATAAAAGATTAGCGGAAGTTGCTAGAATTAATTTCTATGTCTTTGTGTCATGAATCATTCATGATGAGAATCATATCGGTAACACAAAATTAAGCTGTGAAAAAAATCATTTCAATGAATTTTTATTTTTCTCGTCAACAGTAAAGTTTACGCAAATCTATCAACCATTATTTGTAGACATGCATTTTGAGCATGTTAATTTCATAACATCAGTGTCCGCATGATCAATAACAAATAATCCAAATCATAACGACTGAAATGTTTCATGTTTTGAAAAGGATAAAAGTATGCACTTTACGTACACGTAGAGTTTTGGCTTACTTGACAAGCTGCTCGTTGATTTTAGCCCGGTTTGCTGTGAATCGGACGATGGCGTGTTACAGGTCTCTCTCCATCTCTCTGTCACTCTCTCTGGGCGGACTATAGGGACTCGAGGGCGAGCCACGCTTCACTACAGCACGCACGCGCAGGGAAACAAGGACAAATGCAGTTTATACGAGTCTCTAATTTACTGCTGTCGTTTTATTTCGTGTTTCTGCAACGTGTGACATGAACAGTTCTGCTTGCTGAAAATGAGTTAAGCTCATTTCATATAGGCTCATGTATGTTTTCACAAAGGCAAAGTCACAGTAGCTGTTTCAGCCAAAAGTCAAAATAAGCTGTACACGGGCATTTATTGCTGCAATAAAGCAAACCGCCCTTTTCGCGAAATTTCATTCCCATAATCCCAAAGCAGACGTTTAGGTGGAGCGTGAGGGAAAAACAGAAAGCATTCGCATTATTGGAAATCAGAATTTTTTTTAAAACTGACATTTCAAGCTAAAAAGCTTACATACTGTTGCTTTAAACCAGCAACTACGTTCTAATTATATTCTACGTAATTGTTAAATGGTCACATAAACATTTAGGTTTTTATATTTCAATTCTTTTATTTATTTATTTAGCCTATTGCTTGCTTTGTTTTCTTATTTTTCTGCAGCTTGAAGAAAAAATACCCTCATTGCATCATCAATTACTGCTGCATGCTTTATTGTTCTGCATTTTAATAATAAAATTTGATGTGACACTTTTTTATTGATCAGGCTCTATAAAGTGAAATTGCTTTGCTTATTTGGTCTTGACTTAAAAGGCCCACCAGAGGGAGACAACTTTTCAAGAAAAGAGAAAAGAAAAATTGAAACCTATTACAGTAATAGGTAATATTAAAACATCAAAATGACTGGTCTGATGAGTAAGACCAGTCAGGAGGCATTCAACAGCAAAACATCATATTAACATTAATTTGAAATGACCTAATGGTGGTTCGTATGTTCAGTACCATGGACAGCTCTATCCCTTTCAAATCCATGTTGCTCTATCACTTTTCAGATCCATGTGAGTTTAGACAGGAGAGGGAATAATTTGATTAAATAGCATTTAATGCTTCCGTTTAATTTTATTTATCTGGTATGGATGACAGTTCAGACAGGATGATGAATAAATGTGTTATTTGTACTGAAAAGCTGAAAATACCAATGCAATTGCAATTGTACTCATCCTCAGTACTCATCTTCCTGGATCTTTCTGCTGCTTTTGACCCTTAACCACCAGATCCTCCTGTTCACCCTCATAAAGATGGGCATCTCAGGAACCGCACTCCAATGGTTCAAGTCTTACCTCTCAGGTAGGTCTTTCAGGGTGTCTTGGAGGTGTGAGGTTTCTAAGTCCCAACTTCTTGCTACTGGGGTTCCTGAAG